TAAGCAGGAGGTATTAATGTGATTGGCTGACTGACTGGCTGGTTGATCGTCATGGGGATGGAAATTATTTTTGTTGTTGGAATGTTGTTAGCTGTTTTAGTTGTTGCTTTCAATAGTCTGTTGTTTAAATTTGTGCGTGTGCGTGTCTGTGTGTGTGCGTGTCTGTGTGTGCGTGCGTGTGCGCGTCTGTGTGCTTGTGTGTCTGCGTTTGTTTGTTCGTGTTTAGTTGCACTTGCGTCATGTTTCAAGTGTATTTCAATGTTTAATGCGCTTCTGGGCAGTAGGAATAAAAATTTGAAAAAATAACATTTTGTGGTATGTAGTGTTGTTGTATTAGTTAGTGCTGTTGTTGCTAGTGCTATTGTTGTTGTTGTTGTTGTTGTTGTTGTTGTTGTTGTTGTTGTTAGTGTTGTTGTTAGTGTTGTTGTTAGTGTTGTTGTTAGTGTTGTTGTTAGTGTTGTTGTTAGTGTTGTTGTTAGTGTTGTTGTTAGTGTTGTTTCCTGTTAAATTAGTGCAACTGAATTTTATAATTTTCAAAAAGGCTTCATTAAATTTTATCTAAAAAAAGTAAAAAAAACGAACGAATGTTTGTACAAATGACTGCCAGATTAATATAAATGAGTGAAATTAATGAGCAATAAATGAGTGCTTGCATGAATTAACAATTGAGTGAATGAATGAATAAAAGAATGAACGAATGAATGAATGAACGAATGAATGAATGAACGAATGAATGAATAACTGAAAACACACTCAAAAACTTACTTGAATCAAATTATTTTCTTTTTGAAAAAAAATTATTCTGATCATGACCTCAATATTTTTTTATTATTTCATAAAATATTTTTTATTTTTTTACTGTTTTCTGTTGTTTTTAAATTTAAAAGACTTTTATTAAATCTGATTTTATAATTAAATGTAATTTCAAATAATTCTTGAAAAAAAAAATTTGTTTCTCCTCAAATTCTTGCCAAAATTCAGACTACGAATTACAAATTCTTTTTTAAATCATTTAAGGTTGATTAATATTATAATATTAAACATTTATTTTATTAAACAACTAATTTATAATTAATTAATTATAGTTTATAATTAATTAATTATAGTTATATTATTAATAACCCACCAATATTTAAAAATAAAAAACTCAAAATGTCATTAAGTTTTGAAAAATGCCAATAGAAATAGCAACGTCAATACAAGTAACATTAAAGAACAACGACATTGCAACAATAACATTACAACAACAACGTTAACATCATATCATCAACGAAATCCACACTAACACCAACGACATCAACAACATCATACACAATACAACGACAAACTGACATGAAATGAAGCAAGGAAGAGATGGAATTGTCTGCCAGCCAAGCATCTTTTCCATCTTCCAGCACACGCACACACACTCGCACGGACTCTCATACACACATACACGCACACACACGCACACATCTATACAAGAATGGACATACGTAAGCAATAATATTTTCATACAACTTAATGTACATACCTATACAAATATGTCATGTATACCTTCTGTACAATGATGAATATATATATATATATATATATGTATATATATATATATATATATAAACATACCCATGTTTGTGTATATAAATGTGTATATATATACATGTTTGTGTATATATAAATATGTATACGTTTATGTATTTGTATATACATTGGATGTTATATATGTTAAAAGGTGAATTGTATGGTACAATGTGTGTATGTTTGTTTGTATATTAGTGCGTATGTTTGTATGTATTTTTTAACTTTTGTATGTATGTATTATTTTTTTAACCTTTGTATGTATGTATGTATGTATGTATGTATGTATGTATGTATGTATGTATGTATGTATGTATGTATGTATGTATGTATGTATGTATGTATGTATGTATGTATGTATGTATGTATGTATGTATGTATGTATGTATGTATGTATGTATGTATGTATGTATGTATGTATGTATGTATGTATGTATGTATGTATGTATGTATGTATGTATGTATGTATGTATGTATGTATGTATGTATGTATGTATGTATGTATGTATGTATGTATGTATGTATGTATGTATGTATGTATGTATGTATGTATGTATGTATGTATGTATGTATGTATGTATGTATGTATGTATGTATGTATGTATGTATGTATGTATGTATGTATGTATGTATGTATATTTGTTGTATGTTTGTTTGTAAGTTTGTGTTTGTTTTTTTTGCAAAAATCTTAATATGTAAAATGGATTAAGCGTTCTCGGGGGGGAAAGAATAGAAATGAATGACTCGCATATCTTTCTTTGCAAAAAATTTAAAAAACAAAAAACCAAAACTATACAAAACATACAAACAAATAGTAATAATATTATTAATATCAACAATAAAAACATTTATAATATTATTATGAATAAAATGAATCATAAGAATGAAAAAAAACAAGTTTTTAATGTTGCCACTCACTCTTGTTATAAAAAAAAACTTCTAGGAAAAATAAAAAAAACAATATCGACACACCTTATTTAATTGTATGAACACATACAAACATACATATAATAACATACATACAAATATAAAAACGAACAAACATACAAATGTACAGACGTACATACAAACTCAACTAAATAACGCAGTTTTTGGTCATTATCTATAAACTTAAGCTACTTGTAACTGTAAAACAAACAGTCGTAACATGAAAGAAAAGTTGACGCCACATTTATTTTATTATGAAATTTATAATTAAACGAAATATTATTTATTAATTGACTAAATTGTTTTCGTAATGTATTGTATAGTCTTTTTCTGCAATTTCTAGGCAGAATTAATTTTTTGAAAGAAATTTTAAGGTAACAAAAATACTGAAGCGAATATAAAACTGAAAGCAAGTATGTTTTTTGGATTTTTTTTGGCAAAAATAATTTAGAATATTAGTTAAAAAGTGAATCAAATACTAAAAAATTATGTTTTTTATTGCTAAATACGTTCATATTATACCTGTAAAATAAAATTTATGCCTATAACTAACCATATTTTGTCTAATTCTTCCGATTACAGTCGAGATATTTTTACTCGGAGTCATATTCTGTCGGAACCAGCACAAACACACACACGCACACGCACACATGGGAGGAACTTCATCGTCAAGTAGAATGATTTCCACTTTTCTTCATGTTTTCCTCGTTTTCAACATTTTCCTTGCGGTCCAGGGCAAAAATTTACGTTGGTTTCATTCAAAATTTCCATACTTTTGTTATTGATTCAGAGTATGTTTAAATTAGAAGTTTTTTGTTGATTTTATGATCGAATTCAATAAAAGTTTAACATAAAAATTAATTTCTATTTAAAAACCTCTCTGGAATACTCAAAAGTTGATTAAATATTGATTTATAAATTATGGACGGTAGGATAGTATAATGATTGAGTCTGCGTAGGTTTACAATTACTTGCGTTCGTTCTCTTTGCAACGGAGATATACTAAAGCGAGAACCATAAAAAAATGAAAAATTCGCAATTAATAAGTATTAATATTTATCTGAGTAGGTGAAGAGGCAAGGAAGGCTGAGAAGATTGTGTACGAATCGTGCAACACGGCGTACGACTTTGTACTGCTCATCGATACATCAGGCCCTTTGGACAGCAGTCATGAAAGGTCAGTCAAGGTCTTCGTAAAAGACTTTCTGGACACCGTGCCCAACGGCGAGAATGGTGCAAACAAAGTTTCCATCATCACGTACGGCGATAGCGTCCAGTTGTATTACGGCTTCCAACACTCCATGGAGGTTAACGAGGTATGTGGGTTCTTGAAATTTCAATATTGAATTTGTTTTATATAGGTAACGAACATTTAATAATTTTCAATAGACTTTTTAAAAGTTTAAAAAATTAGAATTAAAAATTTTAACAATTTAATGAGCATTTAGCATGCTTGAAAACTTCGTACTGTTGATACAAAATGGTCAAAACAGAAAACAACCACCTCAACATCAGATCACCCACATGTCATTCGGCGGTGACACGGTCAGTCCTCGAGTAACTGACGCCTTGGACATGGTTGAACAACAATTCAACTTCGTGAAGAACAATCTCAAGTCAAACAGGAGCCAGATTTTAATCGTTCTAGCTCACATGAAATTCGCCGAAAGTATTATCGATCTTAGGTACTCGTTTACGCGATTTCGCGAGGACACCCAAGTAGAGAAGATCATTCCAGTTGCAATGAACAACGTGGCGTTGGAGGAACAGTTCCTACAAATTGCTACCCAGTCAACCAACCTGACCGTCACATCTTGTTTGAAATCTTTCGCTCAACCTCTCAGCGAGCTCATCCACGAGTACTGCGATTCAAGTTGGTCGAATATTTTGAAAGTTTCTCTTTATTGAACCTCTCGCCATTTGTGCTCTTGATTTGAGTTGTTGAATATTAAAGATTATTAAAATAAATTTTGAGTAATCGTTGCTAGTAGAAAATCAAATTTTAATATCATCAACCTCAACATTTCAGTCGCCAATCCGAGTCTTTGTGGAGTCATCTGCAATTTTACCCGCGGTAAGTTTCATGCATTTTTTACAAATTGCTAAAGCTGTTGTGACTCATACTAAATAAGTCTTTAGTAATAGAAGTTATTAAAATTGTCATATTCAATGAAATTAGTTTTTAAAATGTTAAATATTTTTTTAATTATATTTCAATTTCCCTATCATAAAAGAGAATCCTCACGGCGATGTTATACATCATTACAGAGGACCACCGGGAAAAACTGGAGTGCCAGGAAAAGATGGAGAAGATGGTTTGTTGATGTCGTTGCCGGTCTTGTTGGTGCTGTTGATGTCGTTGGTGGTGTTGTTGAAATTGTTGTTGTTAAAATTGTTGTTGTCATTGATTTGTTAAAGAAATAGAATGTTATAATTTTAATTATCAAAATTATCTTTCTGTATTAGTCAGATAAAACTTGATTAACATTTATTAAAAACAAATAAATTTTTACTAAGGTTTAACTGGAGTTAAGGGTGATACAGGCCCAACAGGACCTCAGGGTGAGAGGGGAGAACCCGGACCACAAGGGGATCAAGGTAGCTGAAAATAAAAATTTCCTAGTACATGTTTAAATATTCAATATTTGATATCGAGTTTTATTAAGAATTAAATCTGAAATTTTTGTTCGCAACTTTTTCAACAGGAATACCTGGAAATACGGGAAGTATTGGCGAAATGGGACCCCCAGGTGAAAGAGGGTACACAGGATACACAGGAATTTCCGGTCGACAAGGTGAGCCGGGTAGTATAGGACCTCAAGGAAACACGGGATCGACCGGCCTACCTGGACCTCCAGGATCGAAAGGTGACAAAGGATTGAGAGGAGATACGGGCAGGGATGGAAAACCCGGAGTAACAGGTGCAACTGGAGAAATTGGTCTGCCGGGCAAAGATGGGTTAGATGGGCTTCAGGGGGAACCGGGACGCGATGGCGAGAAGGGAGAAACTGGAGACCCTGGACCCCAGGGATTTCAAGGTTATAAAATTTAATTATTTCTATCAAAACTTTTAATATGTTTGAAAATATGATGCAATTCCCATCACAAATAAATTGATTGTTTTATATATTTTCCAGGAGACAAGGGTGACAGAGGTGAAAAAGGAGACTCTGGTTCACCTGGATTGCATGGGTTCACAGGTCACACCGGTTCGACAGGTGTTGCAGGTCGTCCGGGCGTCCAAGGACCCAAGGGTGACCCAGGATTTAAAGGTATCACCGGGGCAACCGGATACACAGGTGATATTGGAAATACCGGCAATACTGGACCGCGAGGAGCTACCGGATTTGCTGGCAAAACAGGGTTTACAGGAAATACGGGACCGGCTGGTTTGCCTGGAAAAACCGGTGAGTCCTTACGTTTCCAAATAATAATGAAAGGTTCACTTTACGAAATGCGTTTCAAAGTGTTAATTAAATATTTGTTTGTCACTGTTAATTCATCCTTTTTCAAAAATATTTTTAATCAATATGATCCATTTCAATAGGTGCAACAGGAGTAGTGGGACCAATAGGACCGCCAGGATCAAGAGGAATGGATGGATTAAACGGATTGGATGGAAGGGATGGCGAACAGGGACAGCCAGGAGAAGCAGGCCAACCAGGTCAAAATAATGTTTCGTCGTCTATGTCAATGTTTATTATGTTCACTCGTAAAATTTACATATAATAATTTTTACAACCTAGGCAGACATCAATCTAATTCATTCACTAGCTTTCCTTCAAGTCTCGTCAACTTCGTTTATTTGATTGAACAAACCAGCCAATGTGATTTCATATAGAAATCATTCGATCATTATTTAACACAAAAAATCAAACCTCCAAGGATGGCCATCTACAGTCCTCGCTGAACAGCACCGTCACCTGAATATCAAAAACTGAACTTTCAAAAAATTTTCAAAACTCAGGTTTACAAGGTGACACAGGTCTCACAGGACCTCGTGGAAATCCCGGCCCAACGGGGTTGAAAGGAGATACAGGATGGACTGGAGTGAGGGGAAGAGATGGGACGCCCGGAGAACCTGGAAGAGACGGACAAGTAGGCTACACCGGTACGTGAGCTGTTGGGTCTTTAGAAATCTTATTATTTTGGTTCTTATCCTTGTCGAATACTAACAATAATAATAATAATAATAAACAGTAATAATTATTATTTTCAATTATATTATTATTATTACATTATATTATTAATAATAATAAACAGTAATAATTATTAATTTTAATTATTTTATTATTAATACTGTTTTTATTATTTTTTTAAATATTTTAATCAATACCTGAAGGTTTCACCGGACCAGTGGGACCAGCGGGAGCTCCTGGTTTACAAGGACCTCGCGGATTTAGCGGAAATGGTTCGGAAAAATTATTTCATTGAAAGTTTTATTTTATTTTTTTTTAGTTTATGTTTTATTTGGTTTTTATTTACTTCTTTTTTATTTGTTTCTATGAAATAATAATTAAGATACAATTATGTTTTTGAGAGAAAATTTTGATTTTATTTTAAAAATTACTCATATAATTAAAAATAATTAGATTCTCAAAATTCCAGATTCAAACTTGATCGTAATTGCAAACTGTCCGTGTAGGAAGGGAGAGCTATGCGTCACTCACCTCGGCGATCCCTATCCCTACTGCCTCCCCATTGTTCCAAGTATCCGGACGAATGAATGAATGATAGATTGAATGAATGAATGAATAAATTAATGAATGAATGAATGAATGAATGAATGAACGAACGAGAACGAATGAATGAATGAACAGCTTAAAATCTCTCTTGACAAAATTTCACTTCAAAATTACTTTAGAAAAATGTTACGATAAACTAAATGGGAATTAATTTTTAAAATTAATAAACTTTATGTTTTACTCCATATTATCGCCATAATAATATCTACACACTATATTCTAATATATAATTATTTTAATATATAATAATATTTATAAAATATATTTTGATATATAATTTTTGAAATGTAGATTGTAGAATTGACAATGGTTTCTGCGACCATGGATGCACAATGGATGCGAATGATCGCGTCCAATGCACCTGTAGGCATGGGTTTGAACTGCTTCCCGATTCAAGATCGTGTGGAGGTTGTCATTCTTTTAATTGTTTGCTCCTTCATTCATTCACTCATTCATTTTTTTATTCGTTCGTTCGTACATTTATTCATTCTTTCATTCATTCATTTGTTTTACAAGACCACAAGACGATGACCTATCCATTCATACATCTTTTTAACCATTCATCTATCCATTCATTCATTTTTTCATTCATTCACTCAACAACAACAACAACAACAATTATTATTATAACAACAACTATCGTATAACACTGGAGCAGACGTGGACGAATGCGCTGGCGGTCTTCACAAGTGTTCCTGCGCCTCTAAATGCGTCAACACCATGGGCTCATACATCTGCTGGGAGAGTACCATTCGAGGTTCTTTTTTTTATTGTGTAAAATCACAATAATTGAAAATAAAAAATGAATTAACTGATGAATGGATAGATTGGTGCATAAATGGATGCATCATGCATGCTTGTTTAGAATGATGGATGAACCAACAATCCACCAACAAATTAATTACAATCAAGCCAACAGTCAATCTGCTAATTATCACCCAACCAGCCATCAGCCAACCAAGAAACCAATAATCTAACCAACAAACCAATCAACCAAACCGGCCAACCAATCACCAATCAAACATTCATTCACCCAACCAATCAGACACTCACCCACCCAACCAACCAATCACCATCAGACATCCACCCACTACCGCCACCGATAACGAGTGGCTGCGGAAAAAACAAACGAGACATAGATAGCAAAACGGTGGCTCAGGTAACTTCGGAAAATACGTTTCTTGTGGTGGTGGCCGTTCTCATTAGCTACCTGGCGATTATTGTAGTCGTCGCTTGGATATTCGTACATAAGAGTAACAACGAGTCTAACTTCACACGCGTCGCCCGGATTGTTGACGGTATGAGAGAGGAGTTAGAGTCCATACGATCTGTCTCGAGGCTGTGAAGAGTCGTGTGTGCACTGTTTGGTGTCTATGTGAGTGTGTCGTGATTTTGGTGGGAGTGTTGTTTCTGTTGTGTACCGTTTGTCATGTGGATTTTCTGGGTGTGTATGTTTTGTGTTGTATGCGTGAGTATGTGTGTGTAAATGTTAATGTGTCTTTGGTTGTGTCGGGCTTTCGGTGTTCGTGAATGAATGGATGTTTTCTGGTTTTTTGGCTTTAGTAGAAGTCATCTTTTTGTGTATTTGATTTGTAGGTTATTTCGTGAATTAATGTTTTTGAGAATGCGTGGTTGTTGTAGTTTGCATGAATGTGCATGTATGTATGTATGTATGTATGTTTATTTGTATGTATGTTTGTATGTATGTATAAATGTATGTATGTATGCCTGTGTGTGTGTGTATGTGTTGTTGTTTTGTTATTTCGATTTTGTTTCATGGTATACAGTCAATCAATCAATCATTCGTTTGTTCATTCATTCGTTCGTTCGTTCATTCATTCGTTTAATTGATGAGATTATCAGATCTTTTGCGTGGGTAGTTTGTTGTTTAAGCTGTTTAACGTTGTTTAATATGTTTGTTTATATATTTTAAAAGTTATATAGTTGTTGTATCAAGTTTGTATTGTGTTAATTTTTGTGTACTTTTTGTGTCTTGATTCGTATCATTTGTGTATGGTCTTTGTATCTATTTTGTATTTCCGCATTTTGTATCATTTTTGTATGGTCTTTGTATCAATTTTGTATTTCCGCATTTTGTATCAATTTTGTACGGTCTTTGTATCAATTTTGTATTTCCGCACTTTGTATCATTTTTGTACTACATCTGTCTGTACATCTTTGTATTTCTGGTTGCACCTTTTGTGTTTTGTTTAAAGTCGGTTGTTTAATATATGGAAAAACGTTAGTGTTTTATAACTATACGCCCTATGAGTCAGTGTTTTAGTTAAATTTTTGATACCATTTAATCATGATATATTTATACAGCGCTTCATTAACGTGATACTTTTAAATGTCTTCATCATCTATTAACAAATTTAGGATGAGCCTAACATTTCCCCTATTAAACAAAGTACATATTTATGTTCTTTTGTATTTAAATAAAAAAATTTTGTATTTAAATGAACATTTGTTGTATTTAAATAAACATTTTTACACTAATTGTATATACAAAGCACTCACGACACACAAACACACATAAGTACACTTTGTATATATACACACATACATTTACAAACATATTGTATACAATATGCAGTATGTATATACATGTCGTATTTTGTATACAATGTACAATATGTATACACACATTGTATACATACGTATTGTATTTGGTATTTTGATATTATATATTTGTATATACCCTATTTATATTTGATGATAACGTTGTTAACATTTTTTTGATTGTTTATGAAAAAAGGTTTTTGAAATTTTATTATTAATATGAAAATTCATTAAAAGTAATTAATTAAACAATTAATTTATTAATCAATTAACCAATTAATAAATAAATTAATTAATTAATTAGCATCGGAAACAATCACGTCGTCGTAATTAAATAAATTATTAACATTAGAATAATTTATAAAACAATGAAAAGAAAATCATAAATAATTAAGATTAAACATAGCAATAAAAAACATTTATATGGCGTTTATTTATAGAACAAACGCTCTCTGTATGCAAAATTCATTTTCATTAAAAAAAGATACTAAATAATTAAGGTGAATAATAATAACAATAATAATAATATTATTATTATTAGCGGGGGGATATAATTTCTTTAAAGTAATATTTTAATAATATAATTGTTATCTTAACAAGTATATATATGTATATATATATATATATATATATATATATATATATATATATATATATATATATATATATATACATGATGAAAAAGTACATAAATGTTACAAATATTAACATTAATGTTGAGTATGTGCTAATTTTTCTTAACGTCTTTCATAGCATCACAAAATGTATCGTGATATTAAAAGAGAGAGAGAGAGAGAGAAAGAGAGAGAAAGAGAGAGAAAGAGAGAGAAATAGAGAGAGAGAGAGAGAGAGGTGGAAAAATTTAAAGAATCGGGAAAAG